ATATCGTTAGTTATAAGATACAAATTTACACGTTAAGCCTCATTTGGAAAGTTATTATATTAAGATTCAATATATCGCCAGTTATAAAATGTTCCACTAATCTTAATCACTTACAGTTCTATTAATAAGCAAGGCTTAGCGTCAGAGTAAATGTACGCTAAAATTACAATTTTAGTAATAGTCCAAATTCATATTATACAGAGCATAAGCAAACCTACTACCTTCTAGGTGCAAATATTACTCTCGTAGAACTTCTTACTAGGTTAACCTTTGCTAAGTTTCTGTTTAATAATATGAATTTTGACAAAACTAAGTGCAGTCTCAGCGCAAATTTTCTCCAACGCTAAACCTTGCTTTTTAATAACACTGCTATAGTTTCATGCTATTATTATGAGCAATAAAGCCTTTAAATCGAATTTTATGTTTGAGGTCAGCATAGAAATCTATTTTTATTTTATGAGTATACTCCACTAATAATAACACACTTCTGTGAATTTGATTTTAACGATTGATCAACAGATATCGGACGATGATCGCATGTCTCTGACGACGGCGGTTTCCGACGAGGAGGATCCCGGAGAGAGCGCCATGAATTCACCTTACAAAGGCAAACAGACTGGCGCAGCGGCAGCTTCCTTCAACTGCACCGGTGCCGTCAGGAAGGCAGGGTAAGCTACTTATGCCCGTTTTCACTAAACTTAAGAGTCACCCAACTCTATCATCTAAATATTTAAGAATCGCCTAAGGTGAAAATACATTTCACCAATGACTAGGAACCATCTAACCGCTTTAGGCAATATCTTAAGTTATTAAATGCGTTATGTGGCACCTTGCGCTAGGCATTTGCGTTATATGTAAGGTCACAGATGTCTCAAGATATAAAAGAAATAAATGTTTATTTAGAATTGAACTAAGCTACTTAGGCGATTCGTGAGTTTAGGCGCTTTCTAATTAAGCTATGCCTTATTCTAAGTTGGTGAAAACATATTTTTGGCATTAATAAACGCATATAATAAGTAATCTACGAGGCCATAATGTTGAAAAGGGTTTCACTATCCTAGTACAAGGTATAGCTAAACTCATATAAGGAAATACATAGGAATAGTGTAAGCAGATTTGTCGTTTCACCAACCCTGTAATGTAACCTTAGGCAATGCCTTACTAAGCAATTGTTTAGATAGGTAGCGTTTGTCTATGATTTTGCATACTATTTTAATGCCTATTTGAGTAAACACAATTCCGCAAATGTAACGTTAGTGGCCTTCACACGTAAAGAGACAATAACAAAAAAATGTATTTTGAGGTAATAAAACTCTGTACTCTGAGGTAATATTACTCTGGAACGCGCTCCCTGAATATATACAAAAAGCGCTAAGTAAAATCTCCTTCAAACTTCGATTAAATTCCTTTTATATTTTTCCAATATTGATAATTTTTCAAATATGATGTTTGAAACTGATTTTATATTCATCAATTTCGAGTAGACCTTTATGCACTACCTCATGTATTATGTGTATATAACTCTCCGGTTGACTGACAGAATACCTAAAGGCATGAACTCCACCATTTGAAATAAATAAAGAACATATAAACTTTATGTATTGTATTTGATCTGGGTGTTGTTTCTTCCTTGTTTCACATACTCCATAATATTAAGGCGTTGGCTACTTTTCAAGGAATCTGAGCAAGGCTTTGATTATTCAAATGAAATACTGATACTTAAATGAAAGATTTTTTTATTTTATTCAAAATTAATCTGATCAACCTATGCTGTGATATATATAAAAATACTTTCAAATAAAAATGTAAAGTCAAGTCGTCGTGTAAAAAAAATACAATACATAAATACAATAGTTAAAATTGTTATCAAAATAAAGTTTATTTATTTTTGTTACTGTAAATACTTGTAATGTAGTATGTTCAATCCATTTTCAGACCATTTCTAAACTTAATTCAATAAAGTATATTCTTTTGGGAGTCCACAAAGTTCGACTGGCACCTTTTGCTTATCGCATTACTGTGGGGTACGACCGTTTTAGCTGAAACATTCGGTAATGTTATAAACGGATTACAATATAGCTGGTGCACACATGAAAATAAGTCAAACAAATTCAAATAATATTTCAATCTAGCAATCATTATAGAAGATATGATGTTTACTATTTATACTGAAAAACAAATATCTTTGTCGATTTAGAAAAACACGTATTTCAATTTCTGTGTAGAAATTAATGTTATTTCAAACTTTCACGAAGAAGATGAATTCAAGTCGAATTAGCAAAGGATAAAAAGGTTGAATAATTCTCGTCTCTCTGAAGATTTAAAATATATGTAAGTAAAACAAGAACAGATGGAATAAATAGGCGATCTCGTGTACCCGCAAAGAGTTTCTGTTAGAAAACAGCTTACGGCGTCCTTTATGTTCCTTGAGGCTACAATTTCTCTTCCATGAATCCCAAATGACCGGAGGGAAATCTTAGCCATGACCCATTCAATGGCGACGTAAAAAGTGAAGGTACGTGAAGTGAGGGGTGACAAAGTTTCTTTAACAACTCAAACATTGCAGCTGACAATAATTTCAAAAGCCCAAGTCACTAAGATAACGAATGAATTGTATTAATAATTTGTAGTAGTTATAAATTAACAAGAGAAATTTATTTAAAAACACTGAAGCACTAATATACTGATTTATTTACCTAGCTCTATAGAATACTTCATAAAGTTTACATGTTGTTTATTTTTGTTTTATACTGATGTATTTACTATATAAACATAATTTTATCTGTCAGTTGATTAGCAAGGAAAGATTTACGCCGATATGTAACTGTATTAAATATAGAAGTCTTAGAAAGGTCGACTTTTATTTCCGAAGTATGTAAGTTGTTGCTGTAAGTCTCAAATTGGTAACCTGACGTAATTTTAATATTTCAACACCATGAATAGGGATGACGACTAATTTATTTTCCGTCCAGTAGAGTGTTGAAAAATATTTAACATGTGTTTTTTTTATTTTATTCGTAATCATAAAATTATAAAATTAGTAGTTGAAATGTCGCATGACGTCACGTTATGGTACGTTTTCTACAAAATTGTAACGAAGCGAGCCCCCACACCTCAACTTTAATGCTTGTTATCTAAGCTATTTCTCGTTAAATTGAAGTAAAAAAAAATACTTATCTAATATTTTTCTATTATCTGATTGACGGACTAAATAGAATTGCATTTTATTACCCAGTCCCTATTATAATTTAAACCCGTCCCAAGTGACGAGGTACATGTGACACGTTCAATTAACTCTTATTATTACAAACGAGTCAGCGTTTCGGTAAACTGTAAGATCAAGCGCTTACCTAACTCTTAATAAATCAGGCTTAGCATACCCGACTTTTATTCATAGTAGTGATTAATTCATGTATTCGGCAGCAATTTATGTATGGGACATTAATTCTTTCGCAATGATTAATCACTATCGCCCTAACCTTTCTACAGTGAAAGCCTCAATTCCAGCGGTAAATTAGGAAAGCAAATCACATTTTTCTTGGAAATCCTATTGTAATTTTGCACATAATTCTTATAAGAAATTTTATAATTTACAAAAACAAAAAATATTATATAGCTGAAATAATAATAAATCTAAGGGAAATATATATTATAAAGACGAACGATCTTATTATTTGTATGTTTGTTTACATCAAATAAGCTCCGAAACTAACGGACTAATTTAAAAAAAATCTTTCTCTACGGGTAGCTTAGTTTTTTCTTCATTCAAACCATGATAACATTTAAACATTAATAACAATTATTTCGAATAGCTTAATATTATTTCCTTTTTTTAAATGATGCAAATTGATTTTGATCCAATTATTGGAACATCAGATTATGAGAAATAAAATCACATTTATTACAAATAATTTACTTCTAGGAATCGAGTGAAATCCTATAAACTAAATCATAAATATTTATTATTCTTGTATTACAGAAAATATTTTTCTCTTTTATCTGAAATTCTTTCTACGAATTAATATCACGGATTGGAAAGGAAATATCCGAAACGTTTTTCAGTTTTTGTAAATAACGAAGAGAATATCTTAATTGCTCGAGGAATGTTTATTGTTCAAGCTAACTTGTTTCGAGTTTTCATATAGTTCTAGTAAGTACGTATCTAACAATAAAGCTCTTTTATGAAACTTAGTAGGATTTGGTGAAATGTGATTCAAATTCCACTTAAAAAGTGTTTTATGTACACATTATTTCGTTGAATTAAAATAACATTTACATTCTAGGGAAGATTTATATTCACATAAAACTTTAATGGCAAATGGCCAATAGATTTTTTAAACCGAGTATTATAAACTATTAATAATTAATAAGTTAGAAATTAATGTGTTGGAGTTCGGACCCTTTCTGTCTTTATCACTCGTGTGAGACGCTTACGACTTAATAATTATTTGACGTCATAATTTAGTATACATCTATCCCTATCTTACCGATATTCATCAAATCCCTATCTTTTCAAATAATAATAATTGAAAGATTTAATTTGTTCTTGTAAATTCTGTTTATTCGAAGTTTTTTGTGTCTCAATTAGGTATTCCCTATTTTACAATGTCTCTATTACATTTTCATTTTTATATAAAGAAAATAATTTATAAGTTCATTTATTTAGGAAGAAGTAAATTAGAAAATAAAACTTCAAAGATTGTATTCTAAAGTAAAAAAATATATATTTACAATCGACATCCTATAATTACATACGAATTGGACATATTTATTTATAGTACACAAAATAACGTATTTTTATCCTTATCCTGATGATTTATGTTAATATTATTTATAATTCTGTCATAAATATATTCGAAAACAACCAAATACTCTTTCATATTATCATACATAATATTATTATTGTATCTTATGGTTTTCGCTTTTATTTGGAACATACCAAAGTAATGTAAATATTATCTTAGCTTGACAAAATGTTAATATAGAAGTAAAGTAATACAATGATATCAGGGTAAATAACCTTATTGATTATGTTCAAGAAAAGCTACTAGTTATGTTTTTAAATAAAGAGAAGCAGAGGGTCTGAGTTTCCAAAAAGCAAATATATGATCTGTCATTTCAATTTATTAATATTAACTCTAAATTGTAAAGTCAAGTAGTAATGTTAAGAAACAAAATAGTACTTGTTTGTTTTCGTGTTAGTTTATTTTAGTTTTATTTTGCACATTCTGAATTAATACAAAGAACCAGATCACATTTCCTTGTTCCTAGATTCCAGAAACAAATTGCGTACCGTAGTGACCCTCACCCGAAATAAATATATTTTGGGAATGAATCGCGAGTCGTAGCATTAACAAAATGGCTTGCGATGTAATTAAACACCATCTCTATGTTAAACACATGGTACTTTACATATACTCAAATAGTTTTTATATATATGATAATATATTACTACAGGTAAGCCGATAAGAACTATTGACGATAGATAAAATATTACGAAGGTTGCAAACTTTGAGTATATGATAGCTACAGAATTAAATGATGTTAATACAAAAAATACCATAAATCTTTAAATAAATATCTGAGACAACGAAGATATACAACACCCAGACCCGAAACAATATACATTGACCCGACCGGGAATCGAATTTGGAACCTTAGAGATACGACACCTTGAAACTGGCTGCTACGGAAGTTTGAAAATCATTGCACTTTTGTTCAATATGAAGTTCTAGGATACTTGGTTCTAGAGTTACATTACAAACTATAATCATTAACCTAAAGCTCTTTGGCCATTTGTCTTTGGAAAAAAATCTGTCAATAAATGACAGAGAACTAAATTATAACAACAATAAAAGTAAAAGAACACGAAAGATTTTCACAAATTAAAAATTTAATTCACAACATAATGATTAACGACTTAGTATGTCTAGTAGTCGATCTACCATTTCAACACTTTTCCGTGTTAGAACCGATTTCAAAATCTCCAAGAAAAATCGATTAAAATCTCCCCCCACTCCTGTAAACGTTATCATTTGGGCAATGGAAATCCTCGGGAAAAGGTCTCAAGGAGTCCCGATTGACAAAATTCGATCTCTCGTCAAGAGACATTTTGTGCTGCCTTGCAGAAAAACTGATGTGGACAAGAAGATCAATATGACCGTGACGTTCGCTGTTTACTTTGGCATTCTTGAAAAATCTAATAACCTTTATTATTTAAAAAACACAGATATGGTATTACGCGAAGGGAAATCTTAAATTATTTATCGTAGGTATTATTATTGAGTGACGTAATATAAATTTTAACTATTTAAAAGTCGTTAATAAAATGTATATACTTGTTTAATGTGTCTTTTATTTTGTAATAATATAAAAGCTTCAAGTTATACAACACAATGATTATATTATTCGTCAAATTTGCTCCAGATTGGTGACCACAAAATTCTGGCTCATCCGTAATTCGGATAACAGAGCCTGCTGCAAATCGATAAGCCGCAACACACATTGCTAGGCTTATGATGCAGTCTTTCGTAGTATTAGTGACAGTGTTTTTACACTGAAAATGTTATCTTTTTATTTTAACACTGAATAGATAATTAGATAGACGACAGCAATCTTTTAACAATTTGAATTTAAAAGTTGTATAACATTTTTATGACAATATTGCATTATATTTGTGTCATACATACATTATTAATCCTTTTTTTGTGAAAATCATGCTACTAAAAGAATTAATGTATACATGCAGCCATTTGACCGACTTTGGTGTTTGTAGGTAGGCAAATTTTGCCGTTTTCCTATCGTATCAAAAGCTAATAGTATAAAAATGAACTGTTAATAAGAAACTACTTATACAAATAATTATACTTTTAAAACTTAAAAAAATTGTTTTCCATACAGATTTCTAAGCGTGAAAAAGTGGTTGCTACGTAAGAAACATCAGATTGAACTGGCTCGGAAGAGAGGTTGGAAAGGGTACTGGGTCTGCTTGAAGGGTACGACTCTGCTTTTCTACCCTTGCGACTCTCGCGAAGGCCGCTCTGTGGAGGCAGCACCAAAGCACCTCATCATAGTAGACGGTGCTATAATGCAGCCTATACCAGAACATCCTAAACGAGACTACATTTTCTGCTTGAGTACAGCATTTGGAGATGCTTATCTATTTCAAGCGCCGTGTCAGGTAAAACCAAATCCAATGAAATAGTTGCTGTACATTAATAATTTTATCAACAGAATTTATGCAAAAAATACAATATATTTGTAGGTGGAACTAGAAAATTGGGTGAATAGCATACACAGTGCATGTGCTGCAGCATTCGCTCGTCACCGTGGTAAAACTGGGACACTTCATTTACTACAGGAAGAAATATATAGACTCGAGAAAGCTATCGAATCCGTAAGTATAAATAGTTATTAGTTCCTTAGTAACTCTTAAATCTTTTAAGAAAACTTTTAAGGCGGCCATGGCCCATTGGTTGAATGAACCGAGACGGAACCAACAGAAAGGAGTTCAAACTTCTCCAATATACTGCGATCGTAAACTCACTCTAAACCAAAGTTAATGTACTACGAAGAGTTATTAATACGCAATCGATGTTATAGAATTAATTGCAATTACGTCTATTCTGTTTCGAAATTCCAGTTAGTAGCTATGGTGGAAAATGAAAACATGTTGAAACAAGAATGCTTTGTGAGTTACACAACTCGAGCGTTACTGTTGCGCAACGGGCATTGGTCTCAACTAACAGAAGCATTGTTTGACTGATCTCTGACTATCTTTACGAACCAATCTCTGGGCTGAGCTATACTTTATCACAATAACATAAGGGTCAATATCAGCTACTAGGTCATTTCTCGTTCCACGTTATGAACTTTAAAATAGGTAGAACTTTGTGAAACATTTCCAATTTATGCAGATACATTTATTGCTTGTACAGAGTTCGTCGTGAATATGTTTACAAGCGAAAACTTCTTTCAAGCCAGTAATAGGTGTCGCGACCGCGTTCATTTTAATAAAATTTGCAAGTACAGCGACGAAATAAGCTTCCGTTCCATCAGAAATAGGATGAGATGTAAATTTGCGTAATACATTGCAAGATAAACTTCGGCTTGTACATCCTGGACTAATACTGAACAGATATTTAAGAATTATATAATTGATGCAATTTAGAATTCTAACCATATTAAATCTAGTTTTATATTCAAATTAAAATATTCTCGTTTCAAATTTCGTTCTAGACGATTGCCTTCTTACAAAAGTATATCTTTTTTCAAACGAATAAATTCTTTATACTGATAATAAGTTTAATAGAAAACAAAAAATAGTTTAAAAGGTAATCTTTTAAAGAGCATTGATTATTTATTTGTAACGACTTTCTTACTGATTTATTTTTTATTTGCCTTAAATTATTTAATAATAAAACATATTAATTAATTCAAATTATTTTGAAATGGAGTATCTGTAACTGCAATTATTAATGATATTATTAATGTTTACATATTTTGATCAAAAAAATTGCATAATGTAAAATGCAGGGTTAGTCTCGATTCTAAGCGAATTTAATCCATCTATGACGTAATTGGTGACGCAACACGCCGAGGCAGCGTCCTGAACAGACCTCGTAGTATTCCGAGCGTCACTCGTGTAAATCGAGCCAATTTCTGACCAGCACAGAGTGACCGCAACACGCTTCAACGCCTTTGTGGCTCTCTCGCTGACTGCTACGTACCCTAACTATTTACACACCTACCACAAGCGAATATACATCTTATTTGGATTGACTATACAATCCAAATAGAATTAAGGGGATGCCTTACCCAAAAATAACTAACTTTAATTGGTTTTTTAATAATAAATAACGCCATATTGAATTATAATTTAAAATAGGAAAATAACATTGTTTATGTATTGATTGGATCAAAACAAGAATATATAAAGAAAAAATCAATTGAAATACAAAATTTAACACTAAAATTCATCGTTATGTTCATTCCTTCTTTTAATTATACTCTTTTAGTGAAATGGAACATTGATATAAGTGTGACTCACTTCGTAACTGAAATCAGATTTCAAATCGAACATCAGGAACTTTTAGAATAATAAAAATAATTTTCTATATTCTACACGCCAGCCTTTGCCTCTTTCGATATTATTGACGTACGCGTCGAATTGTTAACGTATCTGCAAACATCGATATAAATACGTGCTATTATAATTTTAATTATAAAAGCAGGTCACACGATCTTAGTTAGAAATAATATTTTTTATCGAGCGAGATAGTTATCACAGACAGGTGGTAGAGGGCACGTATAAATTATTCATATCACACGTGAACCTCATAGCGAGTTCGAATGCGGAAATATTCTAAACAGAGTGCCTACATGCGTGCCGCGTCTGATCTTGTTTTATCAGTATAAGCTTAAACGTTAAACCTTTGGAAATAGGATTTTATAATTGATTCCGATCTTTCTGTATTGAGCTTTGGGAATACTGAAATGTTTTCATTGACCTTTCCTTATTTAATGTCATAGGTTGAATAAACCTTATTTCATACGTTAAAGTTTGAATACAATTACATAATTAGATTTAACTTTAAAAAATAAAGTTTGTTTTATTTATTTGTGTAAAATATTTGTAACAGGATCACAAATTGAAGCACATGGCAGATCTCCAACAATCAGTAGTGTCTGATCCAGAAACTCGAGCTCAACTAGCTATTCAAATGTTACAATGGGAAGAAAACCTTGAAAGGCTACATTGCGAACAATTCCGTTTGCGGTGCTATATGGCTAGCTTACAAAGTGGAGAACTTCCAAATCCTAAAGTAAGTCATTGTAATTCATATATTTCATAGCACTTTGAGCATCATTTACAACAATATTCCAGCTTAAGGCTCTGGATACGGTTTCTGAGATACTCGTAAATAAATATTACTCCGGATGTTGCCTTTTGACATTCTTTATTAATTTCATAATGGGACAGTAATAATTTTGTCAAAGTTTATTTAAAGGAAATTTGTGGCGGTTCTAACAAATTGACAATCCCGTTAACCGGGCACGCGAGGTTAGAATCTGTTACTCCACGCGACCCATGTCATGACACGTCAAAAATGCCATCCCAACACACAAATAATAAAATTGTCTACAATTTTGCACATAAACAGGTTTGATGAACGGATATACCAATATCCTTTCGCCTTTTATGTTATTTTTAGATCAAAGGTACATATACCCTTTTTGATGACAAAGTATACATGTTACGTACTAATGAGTAATAAAAATGACGCGAAAAGGTTGTGAAGTATTCTGTTAAAAGGGCTGCTTTCGATAAATATTGGCTCATAATTAATTGAGGTCTTAACTGATTGTTTTTTTGTCACATAGTCGTTGCTGACACACGTTTCAAGGGGCACCAAGAGTACTTTGAATAAGCTTGGAGTATTCACGGTGTCGTCGTTCCATGCATTTATTTGCGCTCGGTCACCGTCGCTTCTCAACAACCTACTAGCAGGGCGAGGCGCCACCAAGCGTCGGGCTCCGAACTTATCACGATCGAACTCTGGCTCCAGCAGACGATCCATGCAGGTAATGAGCTTTTGACGTTTTTACTGCACCGCTATTTTGTTTTCACCAATTCGCCATTTTGTGTTTCTTATTAACAAAAAAAAAAACGGAAACCCAAAAATATATATGTTTATGTTATATTAATAGAAATCTTATTTTTTATTAGACTAACTATCAGTGTCACAATCGTCCATTAAGTTTAAATGATCACTTTAAGGTCTAATGAATTTACGTTAGTATTTAATAGTCGTTAGTGTAATTGGGGGAAAATGTATAAAGAAACAAATAACGTTATTTTCCACCAAAAACCCAAAACTACGTTTCGGGAGGACGAGCTAAGCTATATAGTGAAATATTGTACCTAACACTTCAACTATTAATGTCTCTTTTCTACTCAGCAATCAATTACGACGTAAGTTTTTTAAGTAAATTCTGTTAAATAATATATTCTTGTTCTAAACTTTACATTTCAGAATATTTCTAAAACAATATGTTGAATAATTTCAATCAACAAAGGAAAATTTCTGCATATTATCCGATGAATATTACCTACGTGAAACTTTAACAAATAATAGCAGCTAATCATAGCACATCATCAAGTTTTCAATGCAGGCTAACCAGCGTGGTAATATTCACTAGTTATAACTTTACCGACTTGAACATGAAACTATATAATATGGGTTATCCCGTCAATGCACGCAGAGCACTCATAGCTTCAACAACTTGTTAATGTTTATTCTTAGTTTAAAACGTGATATATACTTAGCTGGCAGCTTTATTATGGCTGTTAACATATTAATTGTTTGAATAACTCTACATTAATATATGTCACCGTAAAAAAAAAGTCGTTTATAACGACTAGATAAAATATCACAAGAATTAGGCTACAAATCTTTATTTTTTTTTAAACAATTTTGCATTTTGCACACTGATATGGGACTCGAAACTACGAATTTCGCAATCCGGGTTTGTAATCTCAGAGTGCCAGGGCAAAGAGGATTTTTAAGCATTTTTCATTAGGAATAGTTTCTCTTTATTTAAACAAATGTTTTCTCGTTACTTCGCCTACGTAAATTATACTTACTTATGTCAGTCGCTACTTGCTTCCCTTAGGTGACAGAATTTTTAAAATCGATACAGTTTTGGAGCCTAGCAAATAAACAATCAAATCTTGCGTCTATAATAATAGTGTAGATTAGATAACAAGCCGGAATTCAGAACTTTCGACCAGCATGAAAAGTGTAATTTTTACTATTTCTCTATTATTTTTCTCCAGTCGTTCCTAAGATTTCAACAAATAATTAAAAATAACCGAATCAGCCATATTCGGGTTTTGCGATCAATGTTGTCAATCAGTGCACAATTAAATTGTATATGATATTATTATTGGCCCTCAAACGTATGGCTAGGCGTTTATAGAAAAAAGTTATGTTTTATCTACTATTTAGAATCCAGTCAACACATAGGCGTGATTTAAACTAATACTTGATATATGTGTGTGATAGTTAATTTTCTAATTTTACTTAATAGAAGTAAACAAAGGTGTACTGATAAAATAGGTCACTAACCTCCGGGTATTGTAGGAACTGCATAAATAGCGGCTTGTTTATTTTTGCTTCTTTATCTCCGATATATTTAATATGTTTTACAGTAACCAACATAATATTAAAATTTTCCCTCTATGGATGATGTATAAAATTTACGCCATTGTTTTCTGAATACATGATGGAATCTGAAGAAAATTAACAATGATTTATTTTTTCTTACCAATTTATTTTAAATAAGATGGACAAATTAAAAATATAATAGACAAAATCGTAATGTTATATTTTAACGAAAGTTCTTTTACGTTATAAATGTATGCTTTGCTTAAATAAAAGTGAGGTGTAAATCGTCGTCGAGTATTATAAGTCATTGCGTTGAATATGAACGAGTATCATAGAATAGTCGTTGAGATCTTATTACCCATTAAAATCTTAAGTTAAAATAAAGAATCGGCACCGCAGTGGTTAGCGCTTCATCTGTCAATGGTTCTTTATATGTTAATGTTATTCTATTTTCTTCCTATGTATTATTACCTATATAGATAAAAGAGACATGGTTGCTCTTAATAATAAAGATAATGATTGATCTATTTTTAAATATTGGGTTTAAACTTAATGAGAGTGATAATTTTAAACCTTTTCTTCACGGATTATTATCATTCTATTAATAAACGTAATCGAGTCCTTGAATTTCTTTGCCGTTATCCTTTTTACAAGAAACAGTTTGCATTCTGTGTTCTTGTTATGTCATTTATATGAATTCCTATATGTGCAATCATCATCATCAGTCCTTTAATGTCACCACTGCAGGTGGCACTGCACTCAGACCTTCTCTATGGATGGTTAAGGAGGATGGGCCATGACCCTCCACGCTAGCCCAATGCGGATTGTAGGGTAATAAAGACTCCAAATGCAGCCAGAAGTAACAGCTTAACGTCCCTTCCGAAGCACAGAGATTGACGGTCGGTCTCGATATAACAATATTTAGCCGCCTATCCCTTGACCGACGTATGCAAAAGTTGCTTAACAACAACGACCGTGGGCCACGTCGCTCATCCACTACGCCACTGAGCTCCATTTCTGCAATAAAAATTATTATTATACACATATATCGCGACTCAGAAAATGTTTTCGGACGTGCATTAGCTGTTATCTAAACAAATCTGTCACAGGCTCATTGTAAGATAAGCGGTCTTCTTGCATGGAACCCAAATTGGTGTAAACAATTCTTGATTGAGGACTCGTGTCACGTCCAGTCCACGCCTATCCAATCTGATTTGGGTTGCGCTGTGAGGTCACGATCTGCAAGTAAGCTGACATAACACAGTATATGCAATACAAAACAACACGGTCCTTTTTAAAATCAGAAAGCCAGATACATACGCCGGAGTTGTATAAAAATAAAGCTGGACTACGTGAAATGACGGAAAAAAGCTCTGTAAGCTCGTCGGTAGTTTTTAGTATTATCCTTACTATTTAAACTACACTTTAAAAGCGAGATTGGTTGCTTTTTCGCTAGCGTATATTTCGTTCACCATATGTATATATCTGACCCAAAATAGTGCAGATTGTCAAATGAATAATAAAAAAAAGCGCCCTTTTTGAAGAAATGAACTAGGGTTCTAATCTTATAAATAAAATCCCAACATCTAAAAGGATATTACAATGGAATATATAAATATTCTAAAGTTATTTGCGAAATCTTGGTGATTGCTTTGGTAATGATACTACTAATCCAAAGTTTAAGTATCATTTAACATGAAGTCGCCATTGTAATAAATTCATATTGAAATATAATTGAGATAAAATAATGTATCTTGAAAAATAGAAAAAGGAAAAATGTGGAATTATGCTTAACGAACTTATAATATGGGATGTCGCTAATCTCTTTTATTAGAATAAATTTAATCAAAGGCTAATAATCTCTTTATATCTTATACAATGTTTATATTTTTAAATCTCTTACTTTCAAATTGTTTAAATTTGGTATATCAAATCATCCATATATTATTTTGACGTAGTGGGACGTTTTCACCCCTTAATATTGGAGGCACATGTTGATATTCTCTTGGGAAACCAACTGTGAAATCCGGGTATCGGAATTCCAGTCCCGAGATTGTAAGGATTTTCAGAAGTAATTCCGCTCTGATTGCATTTTTTCAGGATCAGGGCCGCAAATAAAAATATGTTCACATTAATCAATTTAATAGAATCTTATGTGAAACGAGAGAGCAAAAAAAACAATTTAATAAAATTAAACCGACTTCAAAAAATCGTAATAAAGAGGAACGAAAGGAAAGAGAGAAATAATACTACAATTTTTTATCTTCAATAAAATCGAAATATAAAAGTGGGTACACCACCCTAACAATTTTTTTTTTGAGGTCGGTGTCATACATTTATAAGACAATAGAACCTTCAGACATATGTGTACATCAGTAACGGTGCGCCGTACCACTGTTTATTTGTCCTACGTATCCACATGTAAACTTTTTGTCTTTGATCTTCAATATCATTTATTTTGATAATTCACCTTTTGTAATTTGAATTTTTTTTTAAACATAGTAAGAACATTTGCTTATGCATCGAAAAGCTTCTACGTCATTATTGATTCATCTTTCTTCTCGCTAAAAGGTACAATAATGCTTTATGTAGTCATGTAAGAGTCATCGAAATATTTGCGTGAATGACAATAGTTATAAATTGACATGAAATTTGTGCAAAACATTAGCTTTTTTTACCCGACTGCGCGACGCAATGTAGGGTAATGTGTTTATCAGTCTATGTATGTATGTTTGTTTCTATGTGGCGTTCTAGAGACCAAATTCGTAGGCCGATTTTGATGATTCTTACGTCAATCGATTCTTCTTCTTCTTTTTTAATTCATGGCCTATTTGCATTTACACAATTCCGCCAATGTCACGTTTGTGGTCTTTACACGTATAGAAACAATAATAAAATATGTAAAATTTTGAATTTCAATAAAATAAAAAAAAATAGCTCTGAGCGCGTCTATCTGATTACATTGTTAAAGATAATACAAATAGAATGTATATAGAAAACAAATATATTTATAAATTAAGACTATTATTGATTGCAAAGAATTTTGCTAAAATTTTGAATGGGCTGGGATTCTCCATACTCAAGATACATTTTATATTTGTTGGACGTGGAACTTTTGATGGTAGCAAATCATAAAGCGAAATGGATAAATTTGAACAATTAAATAAAATATGATCCGTAGTTCCTTCCTCAATGCCACAATCGCAGAGGGGGTTGTCTTTAATTTTAAATTTGGCAAGTCGAACCGGCGTACACACATGTCCAATTCTCAGGCGACAAATAATTGAAATCGTTTTTTTACTTAAAAGCTTTTCCTTAAAGAACCAGGGAGTACTGGGGATAGTTCTCTGAATTTCAAAATAATACTTTCCCGCTCTATTTCTAGTATTTTCCCAATCAACATTCCATGACCTCATTAAATGTTCATGTGCTAGTACAAAGAGATCGTGATGAAAAAGTTTGGAATATTTTAAAGAGCCAGTTATAACAGCTTGCTTAGCACATGCATCAGCTGTCTCGTTCCCAGGAATACCACAATGTCCCGGTATCCATGCGAGGGTAATGAGCAGCTTCTTAAGATGGCACCTATGCAATGCTTGTCTTATTTTAAATATTATTGGAAATTTATTTTTAGAACGAAACGGATGTGATATTATAGACTGTAAGCAACTCTGTGAATCTGTGAAAATGATAGTTTTGTTAAAGTTATGAGATTCGGCAAATAGGATGGCCTCAAGGAGAGCTAAAGCTTCTCCTGTAAATACAGAAGAGAGAGAGGGAATTTTGAAACTTAATACTAATCTGTGAGCGGGAATCCATACTGCTGATCCAACTGGATCATTAACATGCTGCTTGGACGCATCAGTGTACATAGAAATCCAGCCTTTATATTCCGATGCTAATTTCCGTGCCATTGTACGCATGGCATATGGAGAGTCTTTGTCGATTCCAAAATCAAGAAGAATGATCGGCTCAAAAATAAGTGATTCAAAGCTATTTTCAAAAAGAGGAAGACGAGAATACCGTTCTATGGGAAGGGAAGGAGTATGGAATTTTTTGTAGCTATGGAGGATACAAGAGACACCTACCGATGAACTGGAGGAAGTACTAGAAACTTTCAACAATATTTCTAATTTTTTAAGTAAAGGATGGGATGCACGTTGTATAACTTTAAGGAAAAATCGATCACTCAAAAATTGCCTACGCAGATACAAAGGGGGATCAACGCATTCGATCTGGAGACTATTGATAGGAGACGATTTCATGGCACCTATAATAATCCGCAAGCATTTAGATTGAACTTTAGAAATTTTATCAAGTGGCAACTTATTACATGGGTCTAAAAGAAAGGAACCATAATCGAAATGACAGCGGACTAGGGCATTATATATTAATTTTTGAGTGAATGGATGAGCACCCCACCATACACCCGAAAGAGCACGGAGAACATTGACCCCTTTCTCGCATTTATTTACAACACTATGGAAATGAGGAGTTCCTGATAATTTAGAATCTAGAATAACGCCTAAAAATTTTACTTGGTTATTCATGGGAATAGGGACATCTTGAAAAACTATTTGAGCTGTAGGAATGTTACGCTTTCTGGTAAACACTATACTGCAGCATTTAGAAACTGATAGTGACAAGCCGTGATCCATTAGCCAATCACCAAGATAACTTAACGCAGTATTGAGACGAAAGCAAGCTTCCTCGATTGAATTCGATCTTATATAGAGGGCTACGTCATCTGCATACTGTAAGACTTGACAGAATGAATCTACAACGCTCTCTAGGTCATAAGTATAAATACTATATAGCAGGGGACTCAAAACCGACCCTTGAGGTAGACCATACCAAACAGACCTGACTATAGAAGGCGCTCCATGACATTTGATTTCAATAGATCTAGCTGAAATAGAATTAATTATGAATCGAACCAACTTCTCAGGAACACTCAACTGAATCAATTTACGTCTGAGAATTGGAAGAAGGACATTATCATAGGCGCCTGCTATATCTAAAAACGCAGCAACTACATATTGCTTTTTCTTAAAAGCTATACGAATATCAGTCGTAAGTATACTTAAATTATCCAGAGTGCTGAAACCCTTTCGAAAACCAAACTGAGATTTAGCCAAAAGACCTTGACTCTCAAAAAACCACTCTAGACGATTCCTGATCATATGTTCTGACACTTTGAAAAGGGTGGACGATAATGCAATGGGCCTATAAGAATTATAGTCCAAAGGGTCTTTGCCAGGTTTAAGCAGAGGGATAACTAGTTGCTTATTCCAGGATTCAGGGATGATACCTAAATGGTAAAAGGTATTAACTAATTTCAAATAATATAGTTTGGTTTCTTCCCTCGACTTAACAAGAAACGAATATGGAATACCATCTATACCGGGGGCAGTATCTCTAAGACCTCCAAGTGCCAAGTCAAGTTCCCGCAAGGTGAAAGGATTATCTAAATTACCAACAGATGGGATGATGTCATATGTTTTTATAGGAAGATAGTCATAGTTCGGAACAAACGAGGGAGCGAGTTTATCAGCAAATGCGGTAACCCATCCTGATGGATCGTTAGCTGACACAGATTTTGACCTCATAGAACCACGAAATCGATTCATTTGTCTCCAAACCATGCCTGCGGAAGTGCGAGGAGACATGCTTTCGCAAAACCTAGTCCAACCAAGTTTCTTTTTTTGAGATAAAAATTTTTTGGAGTGAACAGCTATTTGTTGGTACTGAGAGAAGTTTTCTTCAGTCATAGACAAATTGTATTTCTTCTCTGCTTCCTTTCTCTTACGGATAATGTCTGTGCATTCGGAATCCCACCATGGTGGAGAATTTCTTTTACGTATCGTTGATTTCGTGGGAATATGAGAATTGGCAGAACTGAGAAGAGCTTCCGTGAAGGCTTCATATGCAGTCAAACAACTTGCATTGGAAATCTCAGGTAATGAATTTAATTTATTTTTAACTTCTAAAGAAAAACATGTCCAATCAGCTTTATTTAAATCAAATTTCAAAAGAGGAGTATTACTGAATGTTGTGAGCGTACGGTCAGGTAAAGTTAAAAGAATGGGAAAGTGATCACTACCAAAGGTACTACTTAAAACATCCCATAAAAAAAGGGAAGATAGACGCGAAGAGCAAATGGATAAGTCAACTGCACTCTGGTTCTGTGATGGGGAGTTTCTCCTTGTAGGTCTACCATTGTTCAAAACACATAAGTCCAGCTCATCTAATAAATCAA